GCCTATTCTGCTCCCCACTCTGTATGTATGGATAAATAAAATAAATCTTAGAAAAAAAAAAGTAATCCATGTCAGAAGGAAACAGAAACCTACTTAAAGAGCAATCTGAGCAACCTAAGTAGATGATAATGGATTATATCTCAAAGAAAAAAGTAGACATCCTTAAGTGTGGAATGAACAGATATTCCTCAGAAGAATTCCAATTAATGAATGTAGAAGGAATGGGAACAACAGAAACTCCCAATTAAATATCAATCTCAATCCAAGGCCCTCTTAAATATTGTAGGAAAAATACAATGAAATTAGTGGACAAAATTTTAAAGAGAAACATGGTATTTGCATAGTCTCCAAGCATCACCATCCAAAGAGACTAAGTGATCTTCACCTGCGTCCTCAAATTCTTTGATACCCTCCTTTCTAAGATACGAATTTTCACTGTTTCCCCTATGCAACTAGTTTTGACTTAATGACTCACTTCTAAGGAATAAAATATTAACAGAAAAATAGTTACTTTACAGCAGAGATGCCTAAATACTACTTGAAGCAAGCTACCAGAGCTAATTCATGCTGCTAAGTGCTCCATATGATGTGATGAGGACACCACACCTGTGAGGTAAGTCTTCCTTCCCTGAATCCATCATACTAGTCAATCATAACCAAATATCATACAAATCCAAATTGAGGAAGGGATATGCTAAAAGAAGTTTGACAGACCAATCTTCAGCAGTAACAAGGTCATGAAAGACAAGGAAAGAGAAACTGTCAGACTGGAGAAGAGACATGATCATGGATTCTGGAAAAGGAATACAAGTGGAATAACTAAGGAAATCTGAGTAAAACGGATAGTTCAGTTAGTGTTCTACCATAGTATACAATACTGTGTTAATTATTGTAAAAAGTATATGATAGAATATTAATTTCGTAAGTGTTCATAAACGGTGCATGTAACATGTAAAATTAGAGTTGGATAAAGAGTAGCTGGAACTCTCTAAAATTATTTGAAAATAAAAAGCTAACTATCTATTAAAAATGTATTATTTACCTTTGCACATGTATTTTAGGGTGAAAAATTATACTCCAGAATTTAACATTTTGGGTGGCACAATTAGTGGCTATATTTTTTGCTTATGTTTTCTAATGTGCTTATCACAAAAATGTTTTACTTGTGTAATAAAAGTAAATAAAAATGAAATTTTAATATACTCTTTGGTAACCTGATTTCCCCCACTATGAACATCTCATGTCAAAAATATCTTCATTCTTAATGGTTATGTATCAGTGAATGGAGGTACACTAATTTAGGTTGCATATACTTTATTTGCATGGATTTTTTCAAAATTTTTATCCCATTTATTACTTCTGCCTTTAGGAAACCTATTAAAATCTTGCATGCTAAAATTGTAAGACAAGGATGGTGGTGAGTTGTATTGTCCTCTTAATTTTTCACACTTATCCCTATTCCACGGACTTTGGGGTTGACCTTTTCTATGTTTTGGTCAATAGTACATGAGTGGAGTGATGTTCATCACATTCAAGCAGGTGCTTTGAAAAATACTATACCCTTTCCCTTTGCTACAAAATGACAAGCCTCAAGTGTGTCCTTCTTTGGCTGGGGATGTGTGCAGGTGAGCTGCAACAGCTGGCCTGTAACATGTAATGGGAAGTGATAATGAAATTTTTGTAGCTTTATTACTGAAATTTGATTATGTCTTTGTTAATGCAGCAATATATATTTATGATAACAACTATATTTTCTTTATGGATGTTTAGCACTTATCTTCATTTTTGAGTAAACAGCCATTTGGATGGCATAGGATTTAGTATTATGACTCTTTTCAAAAAAAATTTATCTGGAGATTTTGGGGGGTACACAGCCACTGCTGGATATGAAATTCTTTTTTTTTTTTTTTTAAGATTTATTTATTTATGCATACAGAACTGGGGTACAGGCCAGAGATGCAGAGAGTGAGAGGATTCACCAGGGACAGAGTGGGGAGCAGAACAGGCAGATCTATGAAGTACACTGCTGAGGGGAGCAGCGGGCAGGTCAGGAGAGGTCTGCCACGCCACGTGGTCACCTCCGGGGCAGGCGGGGATCGAACTCATGTGGAAGTGGCTTAAGCTTCTTAGTGCTATGCTTTAACCCGCTGTGCCACCAGGGAGGGCCCATGAAATTCTTTTACATCTTATATCTTATTTTATCTTACAATTTACTCAAGTTTTTGAGTGAAACAAATATTCAGGATGGCATTCTATATTTACTGTTGTGTGTACAAAGGCAGGGTGGTATTAACAATACCTGAACTGTACCTCTGTAGAGTTTGTTTCCACCTGCCCTTGTGGCTTAGCACGTACTGTGTTTTTTTTTTTTTAAGATTTATTCATTTACATATACAAGAGCTGAGGCACAGGTGTGCGTGTGGAGGGGTGAGGGGGAATGAGAGGATTCACCAAAGACAGAGTGGGGAGCAGAACAGGCAGACTGACTGAAGTACGCTGCAGAGGGGAGCAGCGGGCAAAATAGGAGAGGTATGTCATGCCATCATATTGAGGTTTTAATAGTTATCTCAGGAGAAAGGTCAAAGCTAGAATACATGGAATTATTAGCATATAGGTGACACCTGAAATACACTGGTATGGATGAAAATTCCAAGAGATATTTTGAAAAATAAGCAGAAAACCAGGTGACTAAACTCAAGGAAAGATTAGGGAAATGAACAGGTTGCTAAGCATGTGTTGTATGTGTATATGAGAGAAGAAAGGATGGGGAGATAATCAAATTAACAGAAAGGGAAACTCAACTGCTAATTGAAGGTGTTTTCACAAATGGGCAGTTTTCTGGGCTGGCCTCAACAGGCAGAGCAGACAGTACAGGGCTACTGCCTCACTTGATGCAATCATACTGCCTCTTTTATGTATAAGGGTAAACACTTCTGTTCTGTAGAGCCAAACTACATACGTGATCTGAAATTCTTCTGTTGTTTTTATAATCAAGAGGATTTACTTTCTCTTGAATTGTTCTTTGTTTAGAATTGCTTTCTTTATTAAATGCTAGTGTCTCAAATTTTGGAAATTGGCCTTTAAGACTTTTTAATAAGATCTACTTCTAATTTTTAAAGAGTTAAACTTATTTTCTTACAAAATTTTAAAATGTACTGAAGCACATTTTAATTTGTATTTTATAATACAGTTAACTACTATTGCAGCTTTTATGTCTTGTTTATTTTAACTTAAGCACTTAAAGAAAATCAAACTGATAGAACAAATTAAAAAATCACTGGGTGTATTTCTAACTCATTTCCTAACATCCCAGGAAAAATTCTACTATACCTTAGAGCTCAGATATAATTTACTAACACCGTAACAACTTCTAAGAATATGAGCAGAAACATGAAAGTGCATAAAAACAAATTTCAGCAGAGTGCTTTTGGAGAACTTATTTGGCCCTTTGTGTGGGACTGTTTGTACAGAGAAGAAAACCAAGGTATAGAGGTTAGTATGTTCTTTAAAGCCACAGCAAAATGGATAGATCCAGGATTTGAGTTCAGATATTCTGGGCTCAAGCTCTGTTTCTTTGACGGTGCTTGAAGAAACTGGGTTAAATGGCAGAATATTTTCACTATTTAAAATTTTTATGTTTATATATGCCATTATCTTCATTTTCTTCGGTTCATCTATTTCCATATTAAAATCCTACACTAGGGCCCTCCCTGGTGGCGCAGTGGGTCAAAGCACAGCACT